GGTTGCTTTGAAATTAAGGTGTTTTTCTTTGGGTTTGGGGTTTTGGGGTTTTTTTTCCACCTTTTCTTTTTTCCCCACCTTGGGTCTGATTATTCACTTCCCACTGAGGTTGGCTTTATAGGCTGCCAACAGAGACAGTATACAAGCTTGGAAATCCAGATGTCTTTTTATGTATTCAACATACAATATTGCACATCCTGGGAAATATAATCTGTGGAGCTAGTAAAGTTAATTCCATGGAGGCTTTTTTACCGGAGAGCAAGTTTTATTTCCTACTTGGAAGAGGCACATGCATCCATGTACGTGCTTGCTCAAGCTTTCTCTCTGTCTTGTGCTCTTAAATTGTTAAGCACCCTGTTAATATTTCCCATGCATGTTTTTGCTCTTTCCTTAGACAATCTGTAATAAATCTTGTAAATAGTACCTCTTAAACGTCTGCAGCCTTGAATAACTTTTTCTGTTTGTTTGTTTAGAGCAATTTTCTCTGTGTTAGACCTAATGAAAATGGATATGGCAAACTTCGCTGTCAGTAGTATTAGGCCAAAATTAATGCAGCAGTCTGCTGAATATGAAAGAAAGAAGTTTCAGGAGTTTCTTGAGAAACAGCCAAGTATGACTTTCTTCCTTTCTTTCTTCCCCTCTGACCTCCCAGTAAACTGCGTGTCTTTGCTTGTAGATCATGAAAACAAATCAGATTTTTTTTTCGTAAGTTCTAGAATTCATATGGTGAATGACACCTTGTGCCCCAAAACTGTGCTTTGAAAAAAATCTGCTGGAACAACAGTTCTGCCCTTAGTGCGCTGCAGTTTAGTTTCATTTCAATACAGTGTAGGGCATAATTAGCTAGCATCATCTCACCTCCAGTTTCCTGTAGCTGTGTGGTTTTAATTTTGTTTTAGATGTTCTGCTTTAATGCAATAAATTAAATGCATGTCAATAACTGATATCATGGGTATTAGTAATAGTAACTAATGGGATTATTTGGAAATTACTGGTGGAAAAACCTAACTTTGAAAAGGAATTTTCTTAACAGTTTGTTTGTTTTTTTTTTTTTTTTCCCCCTGCTCTTCCAGATTCTTTAGACCTTGTGACAAGGTGGTTGCAAGAAGCAGCAGATGATCTTGCAAAGCTGAGATGTAAAATGTTGCTTCCCGACTGTAGTGGTGATGGTGCCACTGGTGGGGCTTCCGCCTTGTGCTCCACTGCTGTACAAAATCGGGCCTATCTGAAGCTCCTAAAGTGGGATCATGTAAACAGGCCTTTTCCAGAAGTAGGTGTTTAACAGAAAAATTTATTTCTGTGCTTGTTCTACTTTCTATTTCTGGGATATAAGGGAAGCTGTTTGGATTTGTAGCCTTTCAACGAGTACCATACTAAAACATTTATCTCTTGATTGAGAGCTCTTGTAGCTCTTCTAATAGGTACTTCTTTTTCAGTATTGAAACTTACTTAGTTGGAAAAGAGGAGTTAATTCTTTTCATTTTGTTCCTGTTACTGGCCTGCTGAGCATGTGTTGCTCTTTTCTGTGTCTTTGTCTTATCTTCGCTGCTGTGAATAGGTAGGCATCACAACGTCACTTCACAGCCCAGCATTCTGACTTTATTCTTTGCAGACGGTGCTAATGGACCAGACCCGCTTTCAGGAAATACAGCTGGAGCTGGAGCAGCTCCTTTTGATGGGGACTGTCCTTCTGGTCACGTTCAGTGCAGCAGGCTCAGCACTCGTTGATATACCCGGCTTTGCTGAGAAAATCAAAACCATTGTCAAGGTGCTGCTGACAGGAATGCATCTTCCGTGAGTATTGAATAATCCTAGTCACACAGAGGCAGGTGTAGTTCTGTTTTTGTCCTAGTAAATAATCATTTGGAGCCTCTCTCTGGCTGTGGACTGCAGAATATGTAGAGGAAGTGATGAGGGCTTTGTATGAGCCCAGGCTGACAATTTTTATTCAGCTTACTTGGGCAGAACTGTCTTTTCTTGCTCTGTTCTTTCCTGAGATGTGCATGCTCCTTTTTTCAGATTATGCTTTCCATGACGCCTGGTTGGCACATGAGATTGCAAGCAGCTAACCATGCTCACGGTTTGGGACAGGCTCCCTGAAGGGTTTGAGTGTGGTACGGTACGCTGCTTGCGATTTAGAATGATTGCTGTGTGCGTTATGGGTTGATAACTGTTTTTTGCATTAGTCAGAGCTGTCTGCGTAGGCAGAAAGTCAGCTCTTGTATGGATTGTTCAGGCTGGAAATCTTTAATGCTATCCTACCTCCTTGTTTTGTATCTCAACTTTATTTTTCATATATATGAAATGTATTATTCTTTATATTCTGGCTTTATCTGGATTATGCTTCTTCCATTACATTTGATAAATAAGGCAACTATAATTGGATAGTTGATTTTTAAAAGGTGGGAAAAAACCACATAGCTAATATAGCTAAGTAATGCTCTACTCCACATTCTCTAGCTCCTTTAACCTGCAGGAATCTTTGGCTGCTGTCGGCGAAAAGGTGTGTGCTGAAGTTAACAGCTGCCTTTCCCAGCATGGGTTTATGCCGTTCTCAGCGGAGAGAGAGACTGGACTTAAAGGACAAATCCAAGCAGCGGCCAATCCGGATAACACCATATGCAAGCTAATAGGTATGCGTTGACAAAAATGCTCTGCTCTCAAGTGGCCACTCCTCTGTCTTTGTAAAACTGTTGGTGGCATGTCATGCATGGTTTCCCATCTGATGTTTCAACTACTTGTTTACTATGTTCAGGCTTCCTGTATTTTACGTGAGATTACACTATTTCTAATTGCCTGTCTCTTTTGAAAACAAACCAAAACCCTTGGTCCAATTTTTCCAGATTCTCGAATTGAAAAGTTTCTGGAGAATTATCTTGCATCTAGTCACCAGAAATCATTGCCTGCTATTCCTGGAGGATTAGGCCCTATTCAAAGAGAGCTGGAAGAGATTGCTGTCAAGTATGTTCGTCTTGTCAACTACAACAAGATGGTCTTCAGCCCTTACTATGATGCAATCCTTGGCAAAATCCTGACCAAGGAAGAATCCCAACTTGTAGGGAAGTCAGAAGAATCGTAAAACCAGTTTGTATGCTACCAATACGGTATTGTCAGCTATTTTAAAAAAATTGCACCACTATTTGTCTAGGAAAACAGCTTTCCATGTAAATACTGGTTCCTTTCAATTCACTAGTGATGATTCATGAGGAAAATACATGAGATGCAAAAGGGGTTCTGAAGTAAATGATGGGAGAGATGCATTTTTAATGTAAGCATGCAACCTGGGGGGGATGTCTTGGTAGTTTTCTGGCTGCAATTTTTAGAGTTTTGAGCTGATGCTAGGTAGGACAAGTTTAAGAACCAACTTTGTATTTAAGTAGCTCATTTTAGGGCATTTTACTCTAATTTACCGTGAATTTAATTTAATTAATCCAGAGCAGATTAGCAATGGTCCTTCCCAGAAGGGGTGATTTGGCTTTAAAAAAAAACCTTACTTTAAAGAAGAATGCTAAAGTTCTAGATAAGAGAAACTTTAACAGGCAAAAAACAAAGCCAAACAGCACTTTATTGTAACATTATGGTTAGTATGGTAGGCTACTAGTTATTTCTGCATTTTACTGCATTTTTAATAGCATTTTTTTGCTGTTTACCTGCAGATGTTACAAAACACATAATATATTTTTGTAGCAAATTTTCTGGTTATTGGGTAACTGTCCTCTGCTATGTACAGTACTTACAAAGGTGGCAATCTTATAGATTGCAGCTGTATTTATCTCTTGTAAAGACTTCAGAAGGGCAGAGCTAAAATGTTTTGATAAAAGTGGCATTTCTTACCTTTTTTTTGCTAGTAGTTTACTCCTTTTTATGTGAAATACTAATTTTAAAGTAAATCTTTGTCATTTTCAGAAGGTGGGTTTAAAGTGCGTGAAACTTCAGGCTGAAAATTTTACTTGTTTTTTAAAACTGCAACTGGAGATGGTTGCATATTCAATCATGTCTTCAAAAATATGCAGGAAGTGCAGAGCACTATCGGAAGTATAAATGATTTTAATGTATTGTGCGAAGTGAGTGATTTAATGTTAGTTTGAATATACAGGGAATATTTTCAGTAGAAGATTTTTTTCACTTTGTAGAGTTGTTCTTGAAACTTAAAATATTTGTAGGTCTTGAATTTAATTAGCTACATGTTGTATAGATGAGTGTTCACAGAAGAGCTCAATGATCGTACAGCCTTATTGCAATCTCACGCTCAGCTAGGAGGTAAGTACATTTGAAATTTTCCTCTAGTTGAGCCCAATGCTGTATTACAGTAATCAAAATTTGATGATTTTATGAAAGCAAAGTTCATAGTTATAAATGGTAACTGTCCCAAGTACTAGACTATCCAAAATAGAATGTGCTGTCTTCTTTAAAAAAAAAAAACCAACAAGTTATGTAAAATAATTAAATGAGGGCCCTTTTATTGCAGTTCATAGTTATAAATGGTAACTGTCCCAAGTACTAGACTATCCAAAATAGAATGTGCTGTCTTCTTTAAAAAAAAAAACCAACAAGTTATGTAAAATTTTATTGCTAACATCCAGGTTCATTTTATTAATCAACTAGTCAGCCAAAATAATAGGACTTCCAGAAGGAAGCACTGGATTATGAATCAGTGTTGATGCTTCCCTTTCCAGTTTTCCTTTAAACGTCAGTGTGGATATAGCTGCACTAACTTTGAGTTTGGAGGAAGGTGGGATAAGTAAGAGTTTTTGTTCTTAGCCTATGCAACTATAAAACAAATGTTTTCTCATTCATTATAAACCCCCTTCCCCCAGGGAAAAAAAAACCCACCAAAACCCTGTAAGAGATCACCAGCTCAGACAAGTGATTTTTCTCTTGGCTAAATGGATAGTAAAAATGGATGTCTGTCTGTGAATCTTTCTTTGCTAACTTGAAAATGAGTAGGTCGGTTAGCCAGAAAAAAAGTTCTGGGTAGGTTTTTGGTGTGGTCTAGTTCATTGTTTGAATCGGCAAAGGATACTACAGAGGTCTTCAAGATTGCTTCATCTGCTTACTGTGCTTTGCTGTTAGTGCAGGATCCACCTCAAAATACAGCCTATAGCTCTGCAGCTCCAAAAAATTAATTTGGTAGTCTGCGTAACAAAAGAGCTACCAGAACCATTATTGCTAGAGATATTAAAAACACCAAATAACCAAGACAAAGCTGATTTTGGTTTTGTTAAATGAGAGTTGCGGAAGTTATAAATTGCTGCTGCTATTTTAGTATTGCCTAGAAGCTGCCTTTAAAGGCCCCTGTGAATTATGCATACTACACAAATTTAGATGCTGTAGGGGATAATCTCAAGGATGTGGGGAGGAACATCATCATGGTGAAACAACATACTTAGAAACAGCTTTGAAAAGTACGTGACTGATGCCAGAATGAATGGGCCTGCATTATCAGTAGATAAAATTGTACTTGCTTACCTAGGAGATGGCTGCTCGCAATTCAGGGTCCAGATGTCCACAACGGTCAACCCCTGCTTACTCTGACATCGAAGCATGGATAGTGCTGCCACTAGTGCACGCAAACTGCTCGCAGGCTCGGTACAGCGAGTCCCACCTCGCCTCGCAGCAGGGGTTTGATCCCGAGGCTTCGTGTAGAAAAAAAGTGCAGCACCCAGCTCTGGCGCCAGTCTCACCTTTGGGGGGGTGCACACAGTAGGAACAAGCGCCTCTGTGGGCCTTTCAGCAGTAGAGACTGTAATAAATGCCCACAAGTGCAAATCATGGTAGTGATTTTTCCCAGGTTGGTTTTTTTAACAGCGGTGGTTGACAACTAGTTTCTCTACATCCTCTTTAAAAGAAAGAGGGAGATAGGATTAAGTGGCAAAGCAAAAAAGAAATTCTAGGACTGATAAGGCCAGACCCTACCTGCCTGTGAACATTTATATGGTTATACGTACGCTGTTTCACCTTTTAGTCTGGTAGATAGGAGCGCTGACCTACAGTCGTCTGTACTGCTGGTGGCAGGAAAGTTTTTCAGCTTGTCCAAGTATCTGAATTTCCGGTAGTCCACGGGGGTTTCTATGGTCTTATCAGAGCGCAATTCTGAATAGTCAATTACAAGTTAAAATCTAAAGTATGCATAGAAACTGCTTGGAAAGTTCATGTAGTGTTTTTGTTAGCTTGTTTGAAAATATCAGGTTAAACTATGTAGCTCATATGGTAACATTTAGCTTTGTACATTAAGTGGAAGACCAATGCAGTTATCCAGGAAAAGATCATGTTAGCTAGTACTCCTGGACAATCCACATTAGAAGTATGTACCGAGTTTGTCTTACGATGCTGTCTTCTTTAAACAGTCATGGAATTAAAAGCAGAAGTATACTGTATCCTCTAGAAAAATGGAAAAAAAGCTAATTCTAATATGTATGCTCTGATCAATTTCCTGTGATGGTCTTATTAACATCGCTTTTGAAGTGGCTGAGTAATATTTAAGAAGTAACTTGTTGTGTTTGAATAAAATCAGAATGAGGCATGATGTTATGGATATCCTTTTATTTTAAAGGAATGTTTTTTTTCCATTTTCAACTACAAAACAGATTCCATACATTCTGCCATAAATAAAAACGAACAATAAGGCAGGACACTACATGAACAAACTGAGAACAACTGTTTTCCAGAAAATGTGAATTAAAAATGCTTCACAAGTATAAGCCATCCAGTTTTTAAAATAAAACTGTTGAAAACCCATAAGATTTCAAGTGGTAAATGTGAACACCCTTGAAGAACAAAATGCAGTTTTGACATTTTGCACTTTTGGTTTTGCAAACCTAGTTCTGTTCAGAGCACATTCTAAGGTTGTTCTGGCTGTTTTCGAATCAAGAACCATATGGGAGAAGAGGCACCACAGTAACAAAACCATTGTCAAGATTTTTTTTGTTTGCAGCTGTCCCTTTTAAATGCTTGGCTTTCAAGAGACTGACGGATTCAATGCAAGTCTTTGTCTATCACAGTAGAACTCCAAACTTGTTTCACCGGATTCTCTTCTGCTGTCGTGCTCTGTAAATGTCGTGTACAGGGGGAACTACAGATCCTTTCTCCTCATCGTCATCAGAATCTTCATGTGGTCTCTTAACAGCCTTATTGAGCATAGCGTTATTTTCCACAGGTCCATTGCCTTCCACAGCTATTTCAGGTAGGCCTCCAGTAATTATTCGTACAGCTTCATCAACAGCTTTAGAAAGAGAAAAAGGTTAATTTAATTTACAAAACTAAATTCCCAGATTAGAAATAAGCATGCAAACAGGGACACCAAGATAGCTACGTTGTGGAGATTTCTGGAACACGAGACGCTTTCCTACTGTATTCTCCTACAGTTGTTAAGAATGAAGTCTCGACTGTCCGAAACTCCGAGCTACGGCAAACACTAATTATAAAGTAAATGCTGCTGCTTCAGCTTGAGACCTCCCTTTACGGAAGTACTGAGGTCATTTGCAAGTTTAATAAAACAGGAAAGCCTATTGGGGAGACAGTATAGCTAGCTCATGATTCATCAGCAAGTATGCATAGCAAGTCAGTTTCTGCCTATCAACAGAGAAGGCTTCAGAAATACCATGTACCATTTAAACCGATGTTATATTTTCACTCTAAAAGAAATTAAATCCTAGCTTGCTTTCTCTCTGATCGTCTTCTCCTTAAACATAGGGGTTGAAAAGTAGCATATTATCATTTGCCGTAGTTTACATGAAGCCTGGAGTATGGATCTGTCCTGGTTTTACATTTCACAACTCTACCTTCTTTGTAGGAGCTCAGAAAACACCGCTCTTGAATTGTTCTCAAGCACTGCAACAATGTGCATTCAGAGTTATGCATACAACTGAACTCACCATACTGCAAATTTGTAACTTAAAGTTACAGTTACAACGCTGCTAGAAATAATGCCTTGCTTCTTTTAAAGGATATTCTGAAAAATCTTTGTTTCTTTCTTTTAATGGTGACCACGAAAATGTCACTAAAGTAGCAGCTGGTGATTTTCAGCTTTTTGACTTTTGGTTGATCTCTGCACAGTTAAATGTACAAACATCTCTATGT